GGGGAGGGGGGGGTCTTCGACCTGAAAAATCAGGGGTTAGGATTTGCACCCGGTCGAAAGAAACCTTGCTATCGCAAGAGTAACTCCAGCTAGCTTCGCTAGCTTTCGTGAAAAAGGCAAAATGATCATCTGGCAGTAATCCATCAGACCCTGTTCTGCCAAACACAGGTCACGCCACGCACCTGGCAAGCCCATAGGGCGCAGGATCGGGCTTCGGAAGCCATTCGGCGGCCACACCGCACTCTGGTGGGGCACCTCCGGCAGCCGCCGTGACAACGCACGGAATGACCGAAGCCAGCCCCGTGTCAAGACATGTTGTGAAATGTGTTGCTTTCTTGGTATGAATACTGAACATGTGCAATACTTCTCAAACAAAGCAAAAGAGTCACTGAAGGGTTCTGAAAGCATCTTCCTGGACCAGTTGGATCTTTCCCCGACATTTGAGGTGTCATGTCTTGCAGCCACAAGGACCTACAAGGCAGACTCTTCGGCGGTTCGTCACGACATCTCCAGTCACGTCTCCCACAACCAACCAGAGGAGTGGAGTCCATCCGATGCCCCTACATCGCCAAAGCACGGATTGGCTTCTGGCATGGATTCGCTGGCTGCTGGATTCTTGTTTTGTCCTCCAAGTCTCACTACAGGACCAGCGCGGTGTCTCTTAAGGTGGTGCACGCAGGGTCATCGTTCAAATTCGATGACATTGGTATGGCATTGTGCTTTTCATATTTGGCGCTTCAAACAGAGGAATGTTCAAGCCTATGCCGGCAGTGATCTCTGCAGGCAAAAGCCCCACTTGTAGCAATGCCTGCCGAGGCCACGATGAATGGGAGTTGGGCAAGCCACGTGGGTGCTTGTGGGAAGCCTGCACTTTGAGTCAGGAGTGTGCAAACACTGCTTTCGTTAACTTGTCCAGCATCTCAGATTGGATCCACACCGAGGAATCGGAATCTTTGATGTGCTGTTTATGAAGCATTTGGCTTCATGATGTTTCATGGGATATATAAACTTGGAAACACAACTGATTGGTTGGCCATAGGTGCTTAATATCAGTGCTTAATTGCATAAATTGTACGTAACTTTGAATACAGTATATTATCAGGATGTAGATGATGTAGGGTCGCGATCCAAAGTGCCATGCTTCAAGCACTCCATTTTGTCGTGCTCTGAGAATCAAAAGCATGTTTGTCGCATCTTCTCGGCCTTCTTGACTGCCCCACCGATTGACGCAGCTGATGCAGCAGCCTCAGATCAGCTAAGCATAAGGCCAGTTGCACTGCTAAAGAAGTGCTTGTCTCTCGCCTGTGCTTTCGTGATTGCTTTCAGAACTTGGCCAAGTCATCCAACTGGTCCCAATCATTTGACGAAGACAGTCCACTGTCGAGGTTCCTGGAACCACACGCAAGCTGCAGGCACCCCGGCCATCTCATCTGTTTGACCTCCAAACCGGGGCTGTAAGCTGAAGACGGGAAAAAAATGAGTTGCGGTCAAATGCGGTCAACACCTTGTGAGGAAATCATAGGAAATCAAAGTTTGGTAGTCAGTCAAGTTGTGGCTTGGTTTTTTGGCGTGGCAGCCACGAAAGTGCACGGAACTTACACGAGGGAACTGAGCAAATTTGAGGAAGTGAGACTCGATCGAACCCGAATTGAAACATATTGAAACAGGCTCTGAGAATACAAGTTTACCCTTGCTGGCAAGGAATCATGATCCTTTGGACTGTATGTTCTTGTGTGTGTGTGTGCGTGTGTCACTCTGAAATCAAACACACATCTTGTAAGGTCTTTCAACTGTCCATCTGCATGCAGGTGACCTTCTGGACTTGATGCCGGCGATCTGTCAACCTCGTATGGCTGACTTCGATCCACTTCGTCTGCAACTGGTATCCTTTATCTGATATTGTCTGGCTTATCGACTTCTGCACCACATATTTAGATCTATCTGGTCTCCAATTCGCTCAGGCACACACACCCCGTGGAAAGCTTCAAAACATGAAAAGAGGTCCTGCAATGGAATGTGAAATGCTTGATGTCTAAGACCACTGCTGCCAGCTGTGCCAATCCAGATCTGAGGTCATCAGGCAAAGGGCACACCTAAGGACACTTAAACTGATGGTCATGGCCCACGCAAAGGTAGGGTGGCTGGGGCGCAGGCCATGACCGCTGGGTAGGTGGTGTCGGCACACCTGTCGGCATTAAGGTAAGGGCCCCTTTAGTAAAGCCCCCTTGAAAGAGACCCTTTAAAGGGCCCTTCCCTTTTTGTTATATAAAGATATTGTATGTTTTGTTTGTCGGTCTATAGTGACTATAGTAATATAGTGTTCTGCCAACAAGCATCCTACCCAACTGCTAGACTGCGCTAGACTGTTGCCAGATGTGATATCACACGACATCACCACATGCATCATGCGTTACTTAAAACATCCTAAAAACCCTTGATGCATGATGCATGTGTCATCTTTCCCACGTCATCACACGTCGAGAACGGCACCACCACGGATCAGCCAGCGCCAGCGCCAAGGTGTGAAAGAACGGACGCCCACCGAAGTCTTGCTCTGTCCTCAGTCAGACATCCTACATGGCCTGACACTGGCACTGGATCTCGCAAGTGACACAAATGAATTGAATCTCATGAGCCAAACGAAACACATTCATACATATTCCATTTGGCGGTCGTCGTCGCCTTCGTTGCATCATCGTCGTCGCCGTCGTCGACCAGCAGCACCAGCAATCATTCATTCAACGATGAGGCAAAAAGAATCAGAAGCGGTTTTGTTCTTGAGTGCTGGCTGTGGTTTCCTTGCCCTCTTGGAATCTTGAAAACCTTAAAAAACAATCTAAAACATTACAACGCCTGTTGGCTACCACTGAGGTTGCGTACCCGCCACCACCATGCTCCGTATCACCAACCGCAGCTTTCCCCCAGGCCAGCTGCAGCAAATGTTGCCTCAGGACTCAGGATAAAGAAATGGCCAACAAGCGGTCATTTTCACATGGAGTATTTTCACATGGACCAGCGGTGGTCTCCTGAGGCGGAGAGTGTGGCTCTGCTGCTGCTCCGGGCGCAGTCACCAAGAATCCGCGCTCATCACCCAGCGCGGAACCCGCTGCCTGACAGTGGCAAGTCCGCAGGCATCCACAGGCTCTGAGGGTCCGCTGGCGTGCCAAATACATTCCAAGAGATATCTAGATCGGTGATCTGGACATGACATGTCTAGATAGTTCATGATATATCAGTTTTGCATTTTTCTAATCGAAGACTGCAGGAGTTCGGTCTGTAGGCCCGAACTTGATGGCAGTGCGACAAGGACGTGCAACAAGGACGTGTGTGGGTGTTCCCACTGTGAGACGTGAGAGGGCTGTGACGCGGTGCAAACGAACGCAGGAGGAGTGTCCTTAAGTTTGGCGCTTCGATGTGGGCTCATCTTTGCCCATTTGTTCCACCTGTGATGTAATTTTGAATCTTGGATGGCAATGGCAAGCACTAACCCTTTTTGGGGGGCCCTTAAAAGATACTCTGTGGCTCTGTGGTGTAAGTCTTGGGCCAAGTTTCCGCGCGGCTTTGTCGGCTTTGTGCCCACCTTCACCAAGACCAGCGTATAGCTCTGGCAGCTTGCCTGGAAACAAGGTCGCTCAGGTCGCACGTGTTTATGTCTCGGCCTTTTGGTGCTCAACTTGGAAGCTCAACTGAAAGCTCTATGCAAACATATGTGTGTACATATATACAATATATATATATAACAGAACATAAAATAACATAGCATTAAAGTATAATATATTATAGTTATATAAGATACCTGAGACGGGGGGGGACGAAAGCCAGCAGCCGCCAGACGAGTGTCTCTTTTTCTGGCGGGCGTCGCGGCACAAGACACACGGTCGGCAGCTTGCGAGTCAGCGGCGCCGCGGACGCGGGGGGGGGTATGTAATGGTGATGGAGGGGGCAGAGAAGCAAGCCGGGCGGCTTTGGGATAAGTTTGGTATGAAAGAAGTAGTGAAAGAAAAATGCGATACGTTGTATGTTGGTGTAGGTCATCATCACAAGGCAATGGCATGTGTTTGTCACATGCAGGAAGGCATGCATCCTATGGAAGTTGTAAGGCGACATCAGCGTTAGCGAAGGGGAAATACCGTCTGAGTTCGAGTGGTGGGATACTACGCGCGCACCGCGCGCGAGTACGGCATGGTGTTGAAAAGAAGCAGTTATGTGTTTGTTACATTTGGAGTGTTTGAAGTTTGCAATGCATACTGCGGCGTGTCGAAAAGCGGCGTTCGTTGATTTGGAAGAGTGAACAGGCACGTCTTAGCCGGGACACGGACGTATCCCGCAGCGCAGAAGGGGAGGTCCAGCGGGAGTGTTTGGGCTAGCAAAGGAGTGAGGATTTGTGTGCCTATCGATGCACATGCCTGGACTTGAGTGAGTCATGTTCTGGCTCGATCCAAAACACAGTCTTTTTCCTTTAAAGGGGCCTTTATTAAACGATCTAAACACCTTCCTTATTCTTCTCTTTCTTATCAACTCTGCGCCTTTCTCACTCAGAGGCCTCACCTGCGTGTGTAGATCTTTGGGCCGTGGACCCAGGCTGACTGGATTCACCCAGGGCTGCCAGCAAACAGGCGATGCATGAGTCAGTAGTATATAGAATTCATCTATCTATCTGTTTATCTATCTACACCGGCAATCCGGAAAAATGTTCGGTCCGTGTGGACGCCGCGAGAAGCATCCACTCGACCGAAGACATGGTGCAAGTATAGTTTTTGCTGGGGGGCAGGAACTCTAAACGAAAATGTAGTCAACTTCGCAGGCATCCCCACCGAAACTCAACCCAAATTCATGGACTTGAAGTCATCTCACTTTCGGTTCTCTGTGGATTTCGCGAGTTATGGGTTGTCCTGGCAACTCATATCCTACATGCGGTTGCAGTCTGCTCTGTACGTGGGTCCCTGTCTCAACTCGACTGCGCAATACCCATTGTCCAAATAGCCTCCAAAGCCCTTCATGATGCTAATGATGCACTACTCGGCGTCCATTGCATCACTCGCATCACCAGACTCCATTTTCACTGCTTTTCTGACAGACCCTCGCTTTGGAGCGCTCTCCCCTACCAAGCTCTGGGTTCACCCTATCAAGGTCCTCCTCAACGCCCCCCCCCCCCCCCACACGCCTCACTTCGTTTGCCCTAAAAGCTCAAGCCTAGCCTACCGGCTGGCTTTCGTAATAATACAACGTATACAATTACATTACAAACACCTAAATACACAAACTTTGCAGGTCAGGTCAAGGCTCCCAATAAGCTCTTTTGGTGTTCTCAAGCTGCCCAAATCTTCGGAGCTGTGAGATATCTCTAAAAGTCCGAGCCTCGCCCACCCAGTTCTCCTTGGAGACTCGTTGGAGGCCTGCGAGCGAGAGCACCTGAGGGCAAACGACGGCGGACGCCAAAGGTACGAGCGGAGGCCCGGGGGTAGGCCACTAAGAAGAGGTAGTAGGATAGCTCCTTGAAGAAGCTCCTTGATACTATTCTAGATGTTTAGGGAAACTTAACTTAGATGACCGCAGGTGTGACTGTGGGAGAATGGCTCAAAATTGCTTTGAACTTCCGCCATATTCTATGGTGTCACACTGTTGGAACAAATCGGTGTGTATTTCAGTATGTGTCAATGTGCGCAGTAGGACAAGACCCCTCCAAAAAGGAAAATGGCCCAACAAATCCAAACAGAATGACATAGACTAAATAGAATCTAACAATTGGACATACTATGACACTATGACATACCAACCGGAAAAAAAGACATCTCCCCTGTTCCCAAGACTCCTAATCAGCTGACTTTAAAAAGGCATCGCTGCTCGTGTGCTCGGAACATCTGCGCCTCCAAGATGCCATCATCCCGTCGCGCCGCCGCCGAGGATCGCCTCACTCTTTTTCGGAAAATGTTCTTCTAGTTCCTAGCATCCTTCCTCCTAGTAGCGATGCCAGGAGCTTTTAGTAGCTTCTTGCTCCTAGTAGCGATGCCCTTTGTTCCTAGTAGCTTCTTGTTCCTAGTAGTAAGGCCAGGAGCCCCTAGTCACTAGTAGCGTCCTTGCTCCTAGTGAAAGGGGGATGCCCTCGTTACGTTCGTAGCTTCTAGCTACTAGTAGTAATACCCTTGTTACTAGTAGCGATGCCCTTGTTGCTACTAGCTTCTTGCTACCAGTACTTGTGAAAGGGGATTGTTCTGTTTTGCCCGCTCTGCCCTCCTACTACTTAATTAAGTAGGCTCCTACTTAATTCAGTAAGGCGGCGTGTAGGCTACTAGACATGGAAGCAGGATAGCTCACGCTTCTTCAAGCAGGGGGGAGCTTCCTTGAAGAAGCGCTCGCACTAATGGATTGGTTCCTAGATTTTTAGAGAAACTCAAAGGGAATGGCATAGATTGAAGAACCAGCATCGAGATTGGAATCTCCCTTAAAGATCCTTTAAAGTATATAAGTCATGATAGTCTCTTGAGAAGAAAGGCTTTCTGACATGTGTGCTAACTGGTAAACTCAGATTCTTGCGCAGGATCCAGCTTGCCCTCAACCAAGGCCACAGAATATGTCACCACACCTCGCTGACAGGTCCCCTACGTGAGCAGGGGCTGGCAACTTGTAGATTGAAACTGATTTCAAGTGATTTCGATTGACGAAACTTCAAAGGATCTTGAAAGTCATCTTATGCTTGGAACATTGCTGCTGATGCTGCAGGCACTTCCAATAATCTCCGCTTCTTATGGTGTTTGATCGTGTACTACGTGTACAATACTTTTTCAGGTGGTTGGTTGGTGTACGTAGGTCGTTCGAGTCCTACATGTGAGTCGAACAGGTCGGTTCTAAGCCCTCTGGGTCCTGTGCGTCCAGTTCGAGATGCTCTGGACAAACGTCGCCTGCGCAACAACTGTTGGGAAAGTCCGAAAGTGTTTGTTCGTCTGCTGACGACGCAGAAAGTTCGCAGGTGCAGGTGCCTTTACGCTCAGCAGAGGCGCTGTTACCAAATTTCCGCTCATCATGGATCAAGGACGCACCATGTCCGGAGAACGCAAAGTGCCTGTCATGACTCACAATATGAGATGAGGAGGACAGTTTATTCAGCAATTATGCCTGGCAGAAGAAGTCCTGATCAGCAACGCAGGGCCGGAGCTCCTTGGGCCTCAGTCATCTGCGAAAACCGCATACCTTTAACAGATGTGACATGTTCCTCCTCTTCCTCTCTCTTCTACTGGACTCTTCTGGCTTTTGCCGATTCCCTTTCAAATCCCAGAAATCTTCGTGGTTTGCTTTGTTCTATCGCACCATCCTTTGCAAGCGGTTGTTCAACCACAGGCAGCCAACATTTGTCGTTCATGTTCTTCAAGGTTGGGAGTCCCGACTGGGTGATAAGAACACTCTCCACCGTCCAACCTGCAAGAGCAGCATTCGCGTCAACCAAAGAATAGTGACACTCATCAACATCATCATCATCATCATCATCATCATCTTTCTTTCATACGCTCTTCGGTCGAAGATCGCGTGGACCCGTTGGTCCATCTGGAGCCCCGTAGGGCCAGACCTCAGCTGAACGTTTGGTCCAGCAGGCGAGCTAGGGTTGTAGCTCTTGCTGCTGTCCTCTGATGGGACCGCAACTGCAGATGCAAGATGGCGAACTGCCTCAAACATGGGCAGGCGTGGTCCTCTTCCAGACCGGTGCCATAAAAAGGCTGACAAGCGCACCACCGCGTTGGGTGGGCATGGGAAATGAAGCTCACTGCGCTCTTCTCCGCCAAGGGGGCTGCCTCGTTCCACCAGGTTCTATGTGCCACCTGCAGGTGTCCATTCATATTCCTGGGCCAGCTTCCACAGGTGATGCATTTTTTCACAAGTCGATGGCAGAGGCTGGGATTGTCCACAAGGATCTGGGTGTCTAAGAGATCGAGGCTCCTTAGCCACACTCCATGCCAGCTGTCGTTGATGGACGGGTCATGAATGATGTTGTGCACCTTCTCTTCCTCAGTCAGGATTGGTGATTCATCCGTCATCAATGACACCTCTTCTGCACCACCATGAGGAGTGCAATTCAGCCAAAGCAGACAGCTGTTT